ATAAATACGGACTTGTGAAACAACATTACAACTAATACTAAATTTAATGTTATTTCACCCATTTTTGAAAAGGTAAGGACAACTTTTTAGAGCGTTTTCTGTTACAAAAACCAGAGAGCTAACTCTATTAGACTTAGTAAAAAAAATATCGATGCTTATATGACCAATGATTTGTTTTTTCTAGATGCCTTACGTTGTCATGGCAACCTTTTCCAAAGAAGAATCCACGATGCATGAAATTATTTTCTCTTTAGAACTCAGACTTAGAAACACATAACAAAAATGCTTATAAATTAAGAAGTGTTTTTTTTTTCACCGTAGCATAAACACCCTTTAACTAGCTTTTTCGTATCTCATTCAACGAAACGTTACCTATGAATGGTTCAATTTCGCACATATTGATGGTTCCAGTCAGTAGTTTTATCTTAACTTTCAGAACATTCATATTCACGTTGACCTGGTATATTCTTTTTCCACTACTGGTAACCTGAGTCTTCAAAACTTCCTTATCAGCCGTGTCGTAGCACACGACTTCAGCTTTCCAGGCTTTGCCTGTGCCTAGGAGAATATTTTAAAAGTTCATTAATTAGAGATTCATAATATAAACATAAATTCACACAAGTTAAGAAACATTAAGCAAGAACAGACCTGTCCATCAGAACAGTAATACATACTTATATTTTAACACGTTTTTCTTAACTCAGCTTCGCGTTTGTGGATGTGTGGATTTGTTTGTTGTTAAAATTGACATCGAAAATTAGCCCACTTCTGATTGCTCTAGAGACCTGAAATTTGGCATGCATGCTACTTTCGCCTAACAATTTCAGATGCAATCATAAAAACTAGCAATTAGAGACCGTAATTAGCTTAATTTAATTACGCCCAAAGGACCATAAAATTGAGAACATGATTTCTAAAGATACCGACAAGACTGGAGGCTTGTTGACACAGTTACTTCGGCCCCAATCGATGTGAGCGCGCTGGCCGTGATCGTATAGTGGTTAGTACTTCGCGTTGTGGCCGCGACAACCCAGGTTCGAATCCTGGTCGCTCAAGATTTTTTTAGTCCGTGTATTTATAAACACTTAGTCAATTCATACTTAATCAAGTCATTAGATAAAGTAGAAAATAAACTATATAAAAAACTTTTTTAAAAACCACGTTTTTCATGTGTAGCAACGGACTAAAAAGGAGAAAATAAAATACTTAAAAAAAACTTTTTAAAAAACCACGTTTTTCTTGTGGACTAAAAAGTAGAAAATAACTATTTACATACATTTGATGACAAAAAACGTGGGTCGGGCAGATGGGTCGGGAAATTTGATGGTGAACGTACCCACGTTTTTTGTCATCAAATGTATGTAAATAGTTATTTTCTACTTTTTAGTCCACAAGAAAAACGTGGTTTTTTAAAAAGTTTTTTTTAAGTATTTTATTGTGACTTTGTAGATCTATCATAGTGTTTTGCTTTTTAGGGACAATCTCAAAAGGCCGTTATAAACTACAGAGGTGAATAAAGTAAAGTAAAGTTTCCCTTTCAAACCTGACGGTGTATGGGGCAAGTTAAGTAGAGTTCACTTGTTTCTGTGACTTCTGCCTATTAAGAGATGGTTTGGTCAGCACTATGCCCAGCCGCCTTTACTCTCCCTAACGTGAGTTGGGTGGACGGTATACTGACTTGAACCCGGATTCGAACTCGAGACTTACGGGTTAGCAGTCCAGCTCTCTACCGCTAGGCCACTCCGAGGCGAATAAGCTAAATGATTTTAGGGTACGTGGGCTCTGTACATGTTTTCTGCATGTATCTCGGTATTTAACTCGGTTATAATATGCAGAAAATGTCGGCCAGACTCGCCCAAGATTGTAAACTAACAGCCAGTGACCTTCTTCTCACATAAGACTATATATAAAAAAAATCTTAACATCAACACTCCAGATATTTTTGGAAGTTGTACACCAATGCCTAGGTTACCCAAAAAAAATATCCCTCTAGAAAATAATTTGAAAAAGTGGTCATACATGACCTTAAATATTTCTTAATATAAACAATAGTTGTTGTTTTTTTTTTTGGTAAAACATAAACACCTTTCAAAACTCTATTAATGTAATTAGACTATGTACATCAGTTTAATGCTAGGAACTCGGCATTTTACTCGGTCAAATGGAGAAGGCGTTGGTCAGACTACGCCTTCGCCGAGGGCTGGAAACTTACCGCTAGTGACCATATCTCAATTTTAGCCAATAAAATGAATAAAAGATATATTGTGTTTTTGTACACTACCCCAAACCAAACCAACCGAGTCGTAAGGATCGGCAAATGTACCTGGTGTATACATCATCAGACGCAGAAGGAGAGTATTTGCTTCGAAAGTCAGTGTCATGATGTCCGTTTCATCTGTGTCTATACACGAAGAAAACCGATCGCCATCGGTAAGGTTTTTAGCAAGATTTGGGAAGACAGTTGTGTCACCAACTTCCAGCCTAAACAGGGATTTCGACTCCGTTGAGCCCGTGTTTCCTTCTCCAGCAAGAAGGGAGTCAGCTTTATGTCCTGAGCGAAAATAATTTAAATGTTGATTCAATTTACTTACATGTTGTTGTTGTTTTTTTATTTCTACTTTCAAACTAAAATTCTAAGGTACTATAAAGGTTCTAAATCAAACCCACTGTATGATGAAACTCTACTTCTTTTGTAATTAGTCCATGTTAAGTCCTAAAAATGCTTAAGTAAAAAATACCGAAGCTAACATCGATACTTTTTAAAAATCTATTTTATTGAGTTAAAGCGTCAAGTTAGTTGTAAGAAAACATCATTTTCTACACAGATTGGTTTTTCCGTCGAGTAGAAAATTTAGATGTCGTCATCGTATTGCAAACAACAAGACTTACCTCCGTCCAAATGAAATGATGTCGCACTTTGATCTGTGGCGACAGTCACCTGCATTTTCTGCAATATTCTCGGATTTTTCCAATGAACGGTCACAGTTTTATCATCCTCGATAGTCACATCATACTCCTCAGTAAAAGCGACCATCGAATTCGTTTCCTCGTCCCAGACTTGAATGTCGAATTTGTCTTTTGTGATCCCACTTATATCAGCTATAAACAAAACATATTATATAGCCTACACTTCAGTATTTTTGTGATCCCACTTATATCAGCTATAAACAAAACATATTATAGGGCCTATAGCCTACACTTCAATATTTTTGTGATCCCACTTATATCAGCTATAAACAAAACATATTATATAGCCTACACTTCAGTATTTTTGTGATCCCACTTATATCAGCTATAAACAAAACATATTATATAGCCTACACTTCAATATTTTTGTGATCCCACTTATATCAGCTATAAACAAAACATATTATATAGCCTACACTTCAGTATTTTTGTGATCCCACTTATATCAGCTATAAACAAAACATATTATATAGCCTACACTTCAATATTTTTGTGATCCCACTTACACAAACTATAAACAAAACAATATATTCACTTCAATATTTTTGTGATCCTATTTACATCATCTACAAAGAAAACATTTTTTACACTTCAACATTTGTTTGCATACATTTAAAAAAACAAACCTTATTTAAGTTTTCTGAAAAGCAATACTAAAATGTTAAAAACTTTCTTGCGTGTGTTAGTAAACCAAGGAGTTTTATACCAAATTTAAAAAAAAAACTCTTTGAATTCAATAACGAATCTTAACTATTGATGCCTATAATTAAAGACGTACATCCGTCTTTGAAGACAAAGGTAAACGAATTTGTGGGTGTGGGTTCGTGTAAATTCACTTCAACTTTAACCTCGCCCAAATTGACGCTGGTGTCCTTGTCTCCGTCAGAAAGTTCTGGTGGGCTTATCTCATTTGCTTGCAGAGACAGATCAGCTGTGTAGATAATACATTGTTACGGTTTATGTTTTCATTCTCAGTTGTTGTTTGTTAGATGGACCATACTAATGCACACTAAAACTGACGGACTTGTCAACAAACTTTCACACAAAAACAACAATTCAGGTCTACAAACATACATGAAACAAATATTTTAAACCCAGGCTTTATTTGTTGTCGTGTGGATGGATAAGTAAAACAAGTCTGTTAGTAAATGGAATAAAGACATTTCAGTCAACAGAACAGAGCACATGTTGACACAGAGTAATAACACTAACACCGGTTCTATTAAAATGAATATTACTAACTGTAGCGCAAACAATATCCGTAGTACTATCCATAACCTCATTGCTAAGGTATCATTAACTGATTCTTAACGAATGCTCTTCTCAGCACAAAAATACAGTCCCTAGCTCAATCAAAATCTCTTACTCTTACACTTAGCCTAATTTAGACACAGTACACTCATCTAGACCAAGATTGTGATGCTATAAGAATATAAGAACACATTAGGCTTACTGCCTAGCTTCGCTTAGAAAATTGAGAATTTGAATGCTTAATTAGTGATTGGCTGATATAGAGAGCTTAAGCTTAAACAGTAATAGTAATTTAGAGAAATTGCTGGAATGTTCCCAATTAATTATTTGAAAGGCAATTGGAACTACAAAGGTTTCCTGAATTGTATAACTTGTGAGTTATATTACATTGACTTTTAAAATTGATTACTACAATTAAATTAGGATATATACCTTAATCATTAACACAAGTATTACTTAAATGAATACTTTACTTAGTCCTTTTCTGTTCGTGTTTAAAATACTATACAAATAATAGCGGCAGTGAGGTAAATTCAATTAGCAATAGAACAGATAGTGTTAGTCTACCTCAGAAGTTAAAAACAGTTACAATTACAATGGACGTTTCGAGCCCAGGTCTTAGTCAGCACACAACAGTGTGGTTACAGATTAGTTTTTTTTAAATCAAACGAATGACTTGTAGTCTTTGTTAAATTTTTGTCACAAACAGCTGCTCTTCTTATATAAGAACATACGGTATCTGAACAGTGTTAACGACCATAATGGGTTTTTAACGACGGAAGTAAAGTTTTTTGTTACCCTCCAGGATCGGTCTACGACCTGACAAATATCAGAGTGATCGTTCGGCAATTATTTTTTTGTATATATAGCTCATATAAAGAGAATTTTACTTGCGGTCACTTTTTAGCTTTTGCCGTTCAAGCAAAGTCCGACCAATAGTTTATCCATAACGCCTATTGTTTAGTGATCCCCGCGAATAATTCTACAACCTCATGAATTATGAATCGGTTTGTACGTCAAAATATTTGTATTTATTTATTTATTTTAAAAAAAGGCACTATGTTTATATAAGGAAATATGGCATTGTTCCGGGATTTTCCCAAGTGTAGCATCGTTTTTTTTTGTTCTGACCCCTAGATACCAATGTACAATTCCAAGAGCTTTAAAACGGTTCCTATGTTTGAATTTTTTTTCGATAAATAGCTGACACAAGGAGAATTCCACTGGCGGTCACTTTTTAGCCCTCGCCGCGCGAGCAGAGGCTGACCGATAGCTTATCGGTGAGGCGGATTCATTTACACAAGTTGATGAATATGAACTGGCAAAAGAGTATCCGGCTCTATGAAATTGGTAACACTGTTAAAAAGGTGGTTACCTAGTGTGGTTAAATGGTTAAATGGCCAAACAGTCTAGTCACCAGTAATCAAGTGGTCAAATGGTCAAACAGTCTAGTCACCAGTAATCAAGTGGTCAAATAATTAAATGGTCAAACAGTCTAGTCACCAGTAATCAAGTGGTCAAATCGTTAAATGGTCAAACAGTCTAGTCACCAGTAATCAAGTGATCAAATGGCCAAACAGTCTAGTCACCAGTAATCAAGTGGTCAAATGGTTAAATGGTCAAACAGTCTAGTCATCAGTTATCAAGTGGTCAAATGGTTAAATGGTCAAACAATCTAGTCACCAGTAATCAAGTTGTCAAATGGTTAAATGGCCAAACACTCTAGTCACCAGTAATCAAGTGGTCAAATGGTTAAATGGCCAAACAGTCTAGTCACCAGTTATCAAGTGGTCAAATAGTCAAATGGTCAAACAGTCTAGTCATCAGTTATCAAGTGGTCAAATAGTCAAATGGTCAAATGGACTATTCACCGTGATCAAGATGTCAAGTTGTTAAATAGTCCAACTGTAGTGTCACCAGTAATCAAATGGTCACATGGTTAAATAGTCCAACTGTCTAGTCACCAGTAATCAAATGGTTAAATGGTTAAATAGTCCAACTGTAGTGTCACCAGTAATCAAATGGTTAAATGGTTAAATAGTCCAACTGTCGTGTCACCAGTAATCAAATGGTTAAATGGTTAAATAGTCCAACTGTAGTGTCACCAGTAATCAAATGGTTAAATGGTTAAATAGTCCAACTGTCTAGTCACCAGTAATCAAATGGTTAAATGGTTAAATAGTCCAACTGTCGTGTCACCAGTGATCAAGTGGACAAATGGTCAAACAGTCGAGTCACCAGTAATCAAGTGGTCAAATGGTCAAACTTTCTAGTCACCAGTAATCAAGTGGTCAAATGATTAAATGGTCAAACAGTCTAATCACCTGTAATCAAGTGGTCAAATGGTCAAACTGTCCATTGATCAAGTGGTTAAGTAGTAAAAGGAAATAACTGAAATAGTCCATTTTTTCACTCAAAGTTAGTCTGGTGGTAGTTAGCCAAATGAATTAAGCATTTAAGTTATTAAAATAAATGTAATAATAATATAGCAAAATAACCATAACCCCATTAGGATTTCCACCAGATCCCCATATTACCATGTTTACAGCCGCTTCCAAAAGTCCCCAATCTACAAGGCAAGTTGGTGCAAGTTCCGTCAATTCGACAATTATGTCCACAGGAGCAACGTGAGGAGCAGTGTTCCCCATAGAACCCAGGATCACAAACTGCAAAATATTATAAGAAATAAAAACATGAGCAATTTAAAGTTGGCCATAGATCATTATCTTAGAATTGTTTATAAACACCCCGATGGCACGATGATATTAATATGTTTACTTTGGGAAATCCTTCAAATTTCCACTAGAATGGTCATTGTTTATAAAGGTTAGTTACGGAGTAGAGCTTTAAAGAAACAAAATTAAATGCTCAATGCAGCCCGGAATTTTTAAATTGTGATTGTTAAAAGAGAGATAATTAAGTTCCATGCCTTTTTACAGTACAACTAACATTCGTACAGGCCAGAGAATGTTTGTATATCGAAACAACTATCACTGGATTAGTTTTTATAACCGAATTATTCTCATAACCATTGAACACACTTCATCTGGAAACAAAAAAAAAACATCAGTACAATGACAAAACTTTGCTGAGTGAACAAATTGCTGACCTAGTTTAAATTCATTGTAGCCGTCTAGAAGTGGTGGTATTGTCACGAATGGTTCGATTTCGCACATATTGATGGTTCCAGTCAGTAGTTTTATCTTAACTTTCAGAACGACCAAATTCACGTTGACCTGATATATTCTTTTTCCACTACTGGTAACCTGAGTCTTTAAAACTTCCTTATCAGCCGTGTCGTAGCACACGACTTCAGCTTTCCAGGCTTTTTCTGTGCCTACAAGAATGTCATATGATACAGGTAATTAATGAGATATTCATGATATAAACATAATGTCGCACAAGTTAGGAAACCTAAAGCAAGAGCACACGTGACCTTGGAACAGTATCACATACATATATACGTTATCAACCCCCCCCCCTGATATTTGTTAATTTGTAGACCAATCCCATGGTCTTGCTTTAGGGAAAACTTTAAAAGGCCGTTATAAACAAGAGACTGTACGTCGTTTAATTAACACCAAAAATACGTGGCAATAAAAAGAGAATTAGCTAAATGACTTTATTGTACTTTGCAAAACATTTCGGTCAGACTCCCAGAGAATTGTAAACAGCCAGTGATCATCTCCTTATATAAGTCTATATATTAAAAACAACGTCCTAATGTCAACACTCCAGATTTTATATAAAGTTGTAGACCAATGACGCGGGTACCCAAAAATATCTCGCTCTTGAAAAAAATTAATAAAGTCGTAATAGATGACCATACGTATTTCTTAATAAAAACAATGTTTGTTATATTTTTGTAAAACATAATGACCATTCAAAACTCTATTAAGGTACTTAGACAATTTACTCGGTCATTTTGAGAAGGCGTCGGTCAGACTACGCCTTCGCCGAGGGCTGAACACTGGCCGCAAGTGACCACATCTCAATTTTAGCCAATAAAATGAATAAAAGATATATTGTGTTTTTGTACACTACCCCAAACCAAACCAACCGAGTCGTAATGATCGGCAAATGTACCTGGTGTATACATCATCAGGCGCAGAAGGTGTGTATTTGCTTCGAAAGTCATTGTCATGATGTCCGTTTCATCTGTGACTATACACGAAGAGAACAACCGATTTCCATCGGTCAGGTTTTTAGCAAGATTTGGGAAGACAGTTTTGTCACCAACTTGCAGCTTAAACAACTGAGATTTCAACCCTGTTGGGCCATCGTCTCCTCCTCCAGCATGAATGGGTATAGCTTTATGTCCTGAAGTAAAATCGTTAAAATATTCATTCAAATTCCTTACATGTGTTTTTTTTTAAATTTCTGAATTCAATCAAAAAATCTAAGGTACTCTTTAATTTTCTAAATCAAGTCCACTGAAAGAAGATCTCTACTTCTTTTGTAGTAATTTCTTGTTAAGTCCTAAAAATGTTAAAGTTAATAATACCGAATCTGACATCGATACTTTTTTAAAAATCAAAATTATTGAGCTAAAGCGTCATTTGAGTTGAAGGAAAAAAACATTTTACTACAGAATTCTAATATGAAATAACTGATTGCCGTGCAAAGATTGTTTTTTTTTTCCGTCGAGTAGAAAATCTAAATGTCGTCATCGTATTGCGAACAACAAGCCTTACCTCCGTCCAAATGAAATGATGTCGCATTTAGATTTGTGGCGACAGTCACCTGCATTTTCTGCACTATGCTCGGCTTTTTCCAATGAACGGTCACAGTATTTTGATCCTCGATATTCACTTCATATTCCTCAGTAAAAGGGACCATTGACTTCGTTTTCTCGTCCCAGACTTGAATGTTAAATTTGTCTTTTGTGATTTCATTTAAATCAGCTATAAACAAAACAATATATTCACTTCAATATTTTTGTGATCCCATTTACATCAGCTACAAAGAAAACATTTTTTACACTTCAATATTTGTTTGCATACATTTAAAAAAAAAAAAATCTTATTTTAAATTTTCTGAAAAGCAATAATAATAAACAGGGAGTGATCTACCCAAAACTTTCTCGAATATTATTATACACAACAACAGGGGATGGGAACTAGGGATATAGACATGATTTGTATCCATTTTAAATAGTTTAACTATTTAAAATAGAATAACATCTCTTAGAAAAAAAAGAATAGCACTCCAAGTAAACGCCAAATAAAATGTGCATAATAGTGCGGAATATTATTATTTTATAAATTTAGTCATTTTTAGAGAAATCGGAAATAGCGTAAATTACTTCTTCCGGTCAACGGAAAATGCTAAAAAATTGATAGAAAGTAGAGATTTAGATTTTTTTACTTACATGTGAAATTTTATTTATCTTACTGAAACAGTACTCAAGTTATAGGCTTTTGAAAAATTCAAAGTTGAAAATGGTCCACTTCTGGTTATCGGAAATCGCTCAAAAGTTGGTACGGATCTACGATTTTGATATAATGCTGATATATGAAATTTTATCAAGCTAGCTGTAACGGTACTCAAGATATCGTGTTTACAGACACACACACGCACACAGGCATACAGACACACAGACAAGATTTCAAAACTATGATTTTGCGACTCATGGAGCTGTAAAACGTCGAGATTTGTAAAAATCTCGATTTTTTTTTTTTGCACGATTATAAGACTTTCTCTATAGGCCTACATCGTAATATACGAGAAAGTAAAACTTGAAAAGATTTCTATCTTTTTGCTTGTGGCACTAAACCGAAGAGTTATATACGAGATTAAAGAAAAACTGCTTTAAATAAGGAATCGTAACTATCGCTTCCCAAAACCACTATACGTACATCCGTCTTTAAAGACAAAGGTGAACGAATTTGTGGGTGTGGGTTCGTGTAAATTCACTTCAACTTTAACTTCGCCCATATTGACGCTGGTGTCCTTGTCTCCGTCAGAAAGTTCTGGTGGGCTTATCTCATTTGCTTGCAAAGTGAGATCCTCTGGGTATAAAACAATTTTGTTACAGTTTTTATTTTCATTCTCATTTGTTGTTTGTTAGATGGACCATACAAATACACACTAAAACTCATGCACTTGTTAACAAATATTCAATAAAAAAATTTTAAGACTTATAAACATATGCAACGAATATTTTAAACCTAGGCATTATTTGCTGTCGTGTGAATGGGTACTTCAAACAAATTTGTTCGTAAATGGAACAAAAACATTTCAGTCAACAGAACAGAGCTCAGAATGACACAAATAAGTCTAACACACAACACAACACAGCACACGTTTACACAGAGTAATAACACTAACACACAACACAACAGAGCACATGATTAGACAAAGAAATTAACACACAACACAACACAGCACACGTTTACACAGAGTAATAACACTAACACACAACACAACACAGCACACGTTTACACAGAGTAATAACACTAACACACAACACAACACAGCACAGGTTTACACAGAGTAATAACACTAACACACAACACAACACAGCACACGTTTACACAGAGTAATAACACTAACACACAACACAGCACACGTTTACACAGAGTAATAACACTAACACACAACACAGCACACGTTTACACAGAGTAATAACACTAACACACAACACAACACAGCGCAGGTTTACACAGAGTAATAACACTAACACACAACACAACACAGCGCAGGTTTACACAGAGTAATAACACTAACACACAACACAACACAGCACACGTTTACACAGAGTAATAACACTAACACACAACACAACACAGCGCAGGTTTACACAGAGTAATAACACTAACATACAACACAACACAGCACACGTTTACACAGAGTAATAACACTAACACACAACACAACACAGCACACGTTTACACAGAGTAATAACACTAACACACAACACAACACAGCGCAGGTTTACACAGAGTAATAACACTAACACACAACACAACACAGCACACGTTTACACAGAGTAATAACACTAACACACAACACAACAGAGCACATGATTAGACAGAGTAATAACACTAACACACAACACAACAGAGCACATGATTAGACAGAGTAATAACACTAACACAGGTTGTATTAAAATGAATATTACTGACTGTAACGCAAACAATATCCGTAGCATTATCCCTAACCTCATTGCTAACTGATACTTGACGAATGCTTATCTCAGTACAAAATCAGTCCCTAGCTCAATCAAATTCTCTAACTCCTATACTTACCCTAATTTAGACACAGTACACTCATCTAGACCAAGAATGTGATGCTATAATAACACACAGAGTGGTCAAATGGTCAAAAAGTCTAGTCACCAGTAAACAAGTGGTCAAATGATTGAATGGTCAAACTTTCTAGTCACCATTAACCAAGTGGCCAAATGGTCAAACAGTCTAGTCACCAGAAATCAAGTGGTCAAATGGTCAAACAGTCTAATCACCAGCAAATCAAGTGGTCAAATGGTCAAACAGTCTAGTCATCAGTAATCAAGTAGTTACCCGGTCAAACAGTCTAGTCACTAGTAATCAAAAGGTCAAATGGTTAAGCAGTCTAGTCACCAGTAATCAAATGGTCAAATGGTCAAACAGTCTAGTCACCTTAATCAAGTGGTCAAATGGTCAAACAGTCTAGTCACCTTTAATCAAGTGGTCAAATGGTCAAACAGTCTAGTCACCAGTAATCAAGTGGTCGAATGGTCAAACAGTCTAGTCACCAGTAATCAAGTGGTCAAATGATCAAACAGTCTAGTCACCAGTAATCAAATGGTCAAATGGTCAAACAATCTAGTCAACAGTAATCAAGTGGACAAATGGTTAACTGGTCAAACTGTCCAGTGATCCAGTGGTTAGTGACAATAAATAATTGAAATCTTCCATTTTTTCTCTCAAAGTTAGTCTGGCGGTAGTTAGTCAAATGAATCAAGCATTTACGTTATTAAAATAAATGTAATATCAATAATGTAAAATAACCATAACCCCATTAGACTTAGCACCTGATACTACGAAATATCTGTAAGCACCACAGCTATTTGTGGTTGTGTACACACATCTAGACTAAAAGCCCATCGCGTACATTATCCTATTAATATGAACTGGCAACAGGGTTTCTGGCTCGATGAAATTAGTAACACTGTAAGTAGGTGCTTACGGAGTGTGGTCAAACGGTTAAATGGTCAAACAGTCTAGTCACCAGTGGTGAATTGGTCAAATGGTCAAACAGTCTAGTCACCAGTGGTGAATTGGTCAAATGGTCAAACAGTCTAGTCACCAGTAATCAAGTGGTCAAAAGGTCAAACAGTCTTGTCACCAGTGGTAAATTGGTCAAGTGATTCAGGCCATTAAGTCTTTAAATTAAATGTAATAATAATAAATTACAATGATCATAACCCCTGTAGGCTTTGTGCCAGATCCCCATATTACCATGTAAACAGCGTGTTCCAAAAGTCCCCAATCTACAAGGCAAGTTGGTGCAAGTTCCGTCAATTCGACAATTATGTCCACAGGAGCAACGTGAGTTGCAGTTTAACCCGTAGAATCCAAGATCACAGACTGCAAAATATTATAAGAAATAAAAACATGTGCAATTTAAAGTTGGCCATGGATCATTATCTTAGAATCTATCTATATATATAATTCTCCTCTTCGAGCCGTTAGAAAACAAGCTGCAAACGCTCTCCCTACCTCCCCACCCCTACATGGTTTTAGTGAGCTGTGTTCACTCTAAATGTTTACAAGCAGAGCCAACGATTTTAAACGTAGGGGGGGAGGGGGGGGGAAGGAAGGGGGGGGGGGGGTTATGGTCCTTAACGAGCTACTTATAGTGTTTTAAAGAAATATTTTCAGTGTCAGCGTTGGTACTGTCGAATTCACAAATTATGAATTATTGAAAATTAGAAACAACTAAATAGCGGCGTATGTTATGCCGCGGGCCGGCTCGTATATATATAATTCTCTTCTGGGAGACAATAGAAAACAAGCTGCAAGCGCGCCTTGCAGTCCACTCTCTTTCTCTCTATCACTACCACCCCCACCCCACCCCCACATGGTCTGGTGAGCTGTGGTTCACGCTAAATGTTTACAAATCGTAGAGCCAGGTTTAGTGACGGCTATTAGGGGCAGATAATTTAGTTTGAAACGATTTTAAACTTACAGGAGGTAACTAAGAGGAGGCTGCTTTCACGGGGGGGGGGGGGGGGTGTATGGTAGGTGTTGGGGAAAGGGGGGGGGGTTAGTCTTTTAAAGCAAATATTTTTAGTGGCAGCATTGGTACTGTCGAATTCACAAATTATGAATTACTGAAAAGTAGAAAATAAAACAACTAAATAGCGGCGTATGATACGTCGCGGGTCGGCTCGTTGTTTATAAACGTCCTGAAGGCACGATGATATTAATATGTTTACTTTTAGGAAAACATTCAAAGGTCCTGGTACCTCATTTAAGCCCGCCGAAAATTATGAACAGTATCATGAAAGTGGTTTATATGTTGCCTATTTGTCACGATGTAATTTATGTACCTTTTTTTTCCTCTACGCAACAGTGTGTGTTAGTAGCTATAGCACAATCACTGCTGCAGTCGATTTTTTTCTTCACAAAACCACTAGTTTATCAAGGTGCAAAATATATTTGTGTGTGTGTGGGATTTTCGCTCCCCTTGCCCAATTTATTTCAATTTTATTTCACAAGGCACGGATATTGGAAGTGTTAGTATTCTCAAGGAAACAAACACATTTGGTAACTTCTAACTTTGTTTGTACTATATAAAGAAACGCATTATTGTGACAGCTACTCCCTGAACCTCAGTGTAAAGATTATCAGCATCAATATCTTTATTAATGGTATGCGTCAACGACGTTTCTAAATGTTTACAGTCATTTAGTTTATCCGCAGGTGTCTTTTAATTGATATTGGACATATAAAGAAAGCAGGATAGAACATTAAGTTATTCTAATTATTGGAACCTCGCTTTCAAAGACTATATAGTGTAGTAGAATTTAACTTTGAAATTCTGTTTAGGATTTTGTGGTGCCAACAATTAATTTAGATAGAAAGTCTAAATCTCTCCCTGCCTAACGAGATTTCTAATTCAAAGTGAGAGAAAGCGAGACTTACAAGCCCTATTAAAAATAAAAGTGCAAGTGTTTTATAATGTCGATTCATGCACTAGTGCGCTCACTAAATGAACATTAAAATTAGATAATCATCTGAAATGTTCGAAATTAAAAGATTTAAATTAAATACTATAAGTATCTCCTTACATTAACAGAAAGGTGGCTAGGGGAGGGCGGGTGGGTGGGGCCGATCCAAAGAGGTCCGAGGGGGCCAAACAAGGTAGATAATAATATAAAAAGCTCTTTACTGAATTATATACAGCCTTCTTCTTCGTTCTTAATTATTAGTGTTGAAGGGGATCGTGATTTATCTGCCAGTGAGCTTTTTGCCGACTCGACCACGCCTCCAACACAATTAAGTGTTACGTGTCAACTGGTTATGCGCCATTGAGGCCATTGACTCCGATTTCAGCCTGCTTTTTCTTTTTGGATTTGCTTCCATAGCCTTTGTCCAACCAAGAACAAACTACAAGGCAGCAGTTGTTTAATTTTGGAGTTGTCTCTCCTAGAAGAGCAGCTGTCCCCAGCTAACGAGCCTCATCTGCCCGAGGGTTCGAACTCGAGACTTTTCGGTTTAGCAACCATAAGCTTTACCGACTCGACCACGCCGAACCCTTATATACAGCCGAAATAAAGAATGTTGACTGCTAATTGGCTGTATGGGCTTATAAAAAAGGCAAAGTGACGTAAAATCGCACCGACCTTTTCACATTAGGGAGGTGAGTGGAGAGGGGGCGCATTTTTCACCAATGCGAACAACTATATATAGGCCTAATTTGAGGAGTAGCGCAAAATGAATAGTGCGTCCTGCGTGCACCGAGATAGATCGCCAAGCCTTTATTTATTACACTGTCTATAGTTTATGTAATATAAACAGTTATAAATTATTAGGTACTTTTTAATAATGGCAATTACACATTGTTGCGCCCCTACCCTATGGATAGCGCCCTAGGCGACCGCCTAGTTCGCCTTATAGGTAGCGCCGGCCCTGATGATAGTTGAAAAGAGACATAATTAAGTTCCATGCCGTTTTACAATACAACTAGCATTAGTACAGGCCAGATGATGTTTGTATATCGAACCAACTATTACTGGGTTGGTTGTTATAACCTAATTATTCTTATAACCATCGAATACACTTCGACTTAAAACCAAAACATTAAGACACGATAAAAATACATTTGCTGAGTGAACAAATTGCTGACCTATTTTGAATTCGTTGTATCCGCCTGGAATTGGTGTTGTCGTCACGACTACAGCTACTGCTGCAGCAGTGGTTTCGGTTTCGGTTTGCTAAAGAATACAGTGACTTCATTGAGGTGGATTTTTTGGTGTTTGTATATATATATATATATATATATATATATATATATATATATATATATATATATATATATACATATATATATATATATATTTTTTTTTTGTAAAGAATGAATGCCATTTGGCAAACAGAAAAAATAAATTTAAAATATTCAAAATAATCCAGAACAAGAAAAAATTTAAGAAACATTGATTTTTACTTTGACGGTTGTTGTAGTAGTCGGTTCTAAATTCTCTTTCACACTGGTGTCATAATTATCGGGCTATAAAATAAAGAGACTACTTTAAAATTGAAAAGAATGTATATATATATATATATATATATATATATATATATATATATATATATATATATATATATATGTATGTATGTATATATATATATATGTATATATGTATATATATATATACATATGTATGTATGTATATATATATATATATATGTATATATGTATATATATATATACATATATATATATATATATATATATATATATATATATATATATATATATATATACACATTTATTCATCAATATAAGTGTGTCGGTCTGTCTATCTTTCTGTCTGTCCTTTATGCACTATTGCTCCTTTTACCTGACGTATATATATATATATATATATATATATATATATATATATATATATATATATATATATATATATATATATATATATATATATATATATATACACATTTATTCATCAATATAAGTGTGTCGGTCAGTCTGTTTTGCTCCTTTCACCTGACGAAATGTAACGAGTTACCAGTCAGGTGGATAATGTTAACCTCATTTGGAAGCTCCCCCCCCCCCCCCTCTTTTGGGACAGCAACTATACATTTTTATTTTTTTGTTAGCAAAGTTTGTTTTCCATGTCTTGTGTCTTCTGGGACTCTGTATTTGTATTTACAAGTCTAGGCTGCGAGAAATCACGACAGTATGCTAACTACATAGTAATGTAGTGCAGAACGTGTAGGGTCATATAAAAAGGGAAGTCTATGAAATATTAATATGTTCTTTACGACGTTTTGTATGAAAAGTTCTTTAAGCAGCTATTTACGAGGTTCTTCAGTCAACTGGGTAAAGGCTGCTAAGACACAACACATTTTTTGTGTTGTTGTCCCTCATGGTCGGCCCGTAACCTCACCAGTCCTCTGTGGTGGGCCAATGCACCTATCAACAATGACGTAGTGTTGCGTTAACCACACTACACCTCAGTTGAATACCAGCACACCTAACCTCTAGTGAGGCAGTTACAGACATAAACTTTAAAAAGTCGTTTAAAAAAACTTCTGTCAAATAAAAGCATTTAAACAGCAATTTTCCTCTAAATACGGTAAATGCAACTAACAGTCCGATGCGATTTGACACAGTTCACACGAGTAATATTAATCTTTGGAAGAATAAACTGGGAGCGGTGATCTATCCTAAACTTTCTCGAATATTCTTATGAAACAAACGTGGGATGGCAAGTCGGGATATAAACATGATTTTTAATCCACTTCAAATACTTATACGTTTTAAAAGAGAATAAAATCTCGTAGAAAAAACAATTACACACCAAGTGAAGGCCAAATAAAATGTGAGTAATAGTGCGGAATATTATTAGTACTTTATAAATTCACATGCGTTTTTTGAGAAATCGGAAATAACGTAAATTAGTACTTCCGATCAACAGAAATTACTAAAAATTTGACAGAAGGCAGAGCATTAGATGTTTTACTAACATGTGAAATTTCATTTATCTATCTGAAATAGTAATCACATTATAGGCTTTTGAAAAGTTCAAAATAGAAAAGTTCCACTTCCGGTTTTCGTAAATCGCTCAAAAGTTGTTACGGATCTACGATTTTTATATAATACTTATATATGAAATTTCATCAATCTAGCTGTAACGGTACAAAAATTATCGTGTTTACACACACACACCCATGCACAAACACAGACATTTGGACAACATTGCAAAACTATGTTGTTCCGATTTGCAAAAATCTCGATTTTATTTTTGTACGATTACAAGACTTTCTCTATACTTCGGATATACGACAAATTAAAGAGACAAAACTAGTTGATTTTTTTTTCTTTTTTCTATCTTTATAGTTAATTAGACCAAAAAAATCATAAACGTTAAAAAAACAAGAACACATTAATCACGACACATAAATGGAAAAAAACAAACCGTTTTATTACCAGCTCAGGAGTCTCAATATAATCATTTGTGAGGCCAAAAATTACCAAAGGGTTTAAAGAAAACTTATTTAGCTCTAATATTATTCAGATTTTGGTCATTGTATATCCTTCCTGGTCGCAAAATCTTTAGTTGTAGGGACATAGTTGTCGGGAGAAATATGACCCCTACTCATTTCAATGCTGTTAGGTTACAAATACATGGACGTGTTCTTATATAGACAGACTGAAAAACTAGAGCGTAGTCGAAAGCCTTGACGAGAATCTGACTTGAAATGTGAGGCTCTACAGGTGTATATTGGTTCATCAAATAACGAGCTGTGTCTTTAAAACGATTATTGAAGTTTTGTGATAGATTTGCGGCGAGTTGTTCTTATTCGGCGGCGATGTGAAAATTTATCTCCCTGCTATATCATAACCTTTCTTCAGTACCACAACAAACTCCATCTCTGTATGACTGAAGTGATTTTTGAGACCTTCAATCCGTGCAGTGTTATGTCTTCTTCAAGCAAAGACGCAAAAACATATTGATATGTGTAGTTAAAATAAATACAAGCTTCATACATTTAAAATAATATACTCGGAAATTGGAAGTTATGTATAAGTAAATATCAGGTCTAAAGAAGCCCAAATATAAAGCGAGAGATTATAAGTATTGATAGTATCAAGTTACAGTATAGCCGACATCGCATAGTTCGCTTTAGTAAACAGCTGAACATGCCACTCAACCATGAAAAAAAAATACTTAATTTGACTTACCACTTTTTGTTTTATAATCCCGTCCTAAATCATTTTGTCAGCCCATATTTTTTATCAAGCAGAACACTTTCAACACGTTACCGCGAATAGTTATCGGAGGGATAAAGCGAAATGAGGGTGGTACGAATTGCTATAGTTGGGTTAGAGCGAAATGAGGGTGGTACGAATTCCTTTCGGTATTTATGTATTTATTTGTTTATTTTATTTATTTATTTATTTATTTATTTGTTTGTTTGTTTGTTTGTTTGTTTGTTTATTTATTTATTTATTTATTTTTTTTTTTTTTATTTATTCATTCATTTATATATTTATTTTTTATGTATTCATTTATTTTAATGTATGTATTTATAACACTTCGTAAGATGCGTGATTGTTAAGGAATATAATTTTAAAATATACGATAAAATGTATTTAAGATTTTTAAAAATTCTATCATGATCTACAAACAAATTAAATTATAATTAATTATTTTTCAGTTGACTCGGTACAGCCATATTCAATTCAACAGAAACCAAAAAATATAGCTTACAGGTAACATGTCAATGGGCCCAAAAATATTGTATGAATAGAACGTCTCCGGAGTTGTCCCAGCTTGTACGAATAGTGATACTGGAGCGTCTGCTGTGAGTTTCGCAGGAGCTGAACTAATTGTAGCGTACCCTGCGTACACGTTGGCACCCTTAACAATTTCAGTTATATCGCTGGGGATTAAAAGATAAAATGTTTTCCTATTGCTGCATACCCAAGTTTTACACCAACACATATAGTGCTTAATCACAACGTAATTTAAACAGATTTGGACGAACTACTATGTAATAGCACAGCTAAAAAAGGGGAAGAAAAGAAATATGTCTTGATATCCAATTCGGTTTCAATTCAGACGAACTTCTCAGAGTACACCCAGATCTCGTGAGTACTCAACTCACTTTAGGGAAAATGTAGGCGGCTGGACATGCTGACCACCCTATCTCCTCATATGCCGATGTCACAGAAGCAGATGCAGTCTACTTACCTTGCCCCATGGGCCGTTAGGTTCGAAAAGAGAAGTTTATGGGCCTTACTTTGGGGTCTGAGGGGGGTGGCCTTGTATAATGCTATACATATCATAAATGGTCAAACGATAAAATTTAATATGAAGGATTCTGATGATCACTTTGATCTTTAAAAAAATTAAACATTTAAAACATATATCTTTAATATATCTTTAATAAAGGATATCAAGAAGAGAATAAAAATGCAAAATAATCTGACGAAGCTAGAGAACACACAAGCGACGTCGTCTACAGGAAGCAGTAAATACTCCAAATGTGGGGTGCAAATTTTGTGGACGGAGACAGATGTTTGAGGGTACTGGGCCCGACATGTGGCAGAATGTGTAACAAATGGGGAAAGAGATATCACTTTGAAGTAAAGTGCGATATAAAAAAAGTGAATTTCGTTGCTTGTGAAGTTTATACGAATGTTGGTTGTTGGCCACAGAAGAAGAAATGGCGATGGCGGTAGTTTCATGAGGTGATCCAAGCTGACTGCTCGACACACGGTGGTTTGTCTAATAGAATAAGGAACTACTGGGGTTGTGATCCCAGTCAAGTGCGTACAGAATACATTTAATTATCGTTGCTAAAAATAAAATGCTACTGGCAGCACGATTAGGCTGAGGGTAAAGCCACCACTAACCACTAATGTTTTAATACCCAACAACCAACACGAGGTACATGTTGGGCTTTGGCCTGGAAGATGAAAATAGTCTGACATGTTTTATTACCATCAACCACAACGAAAACTAATAAGAGTCCCGGGAAGAATTAATTATATGATTGGCCTCTTTGAGTGCTTAATTAGCTTAGCCCTGAGATAACTTGTTAATTAATCCAGTAGCTTGTATCTTCATAACTTACTTTAAAACCAGTGGCTCGTCATCAAGTTTGAGATTGTTTTCCAAGGCATCTTTCGGGCCCGTCACAGTGATATCGACATCGATTACACTTGGGTACAGTGGATTCCTTTGAAATTAAAATGTAACTTTTATGCCTCTTTAGTGAGGTAAAAGTAAAATATATTAAAAATTGAAAAAGTTGATTGATGTAGCACAATAGAACGACTTGGCTGCACTAGCGGGAATTTTTCTTTCACATTTGTGTGTTTCATATTTAAGTTTCCCTTTCTACCAATCGTGCTTTTACAACTATTTGTGTAACACACAACGGCATTTAGATATGCATGTCTTATGTTTATTTCCATTGATCGTAAGTCTCTATATAAAATAGTATCAAGTACTAAAAAGAATTGAGATCTGCGAGCCGTTTCGATTGAGTAAAGTTTTGAAAAAAAAACCCGAAGAGTGTTTTTCTCAAAATGATATCTTAGTGGCTAAAAGTGCCTTATAATTTATTTTGGTGTCTGATGACGAACTTACAATAACACATGTTCCCTCCTGAATTCGTGCATACCGTCAAGTCGGAAATATATTCCGGCGGCAGTGTTGTTAGCATATATGATTGCTGGAAAAGTCGTTTCAATCGCCTTAACATTTAGGAACTGAAAATCATTTCACAAAATATATAAGTTATCTTATATACTTATATACTCAAGAACAAACATTGGATCATTTATTCAAAAGAGAGTAGTAATTAGTTATAAAACTATTTTTTTAAATTCATTGCTGAAGTATAAAGATTATTTAATAAAATAAACTAGCTTCTACTGTCGAATGTGGGTTTAAAAGTTATGACACAGATGTGTGATTTCCTACGTTGAGAACTGTTGTCTTCTAAAAATGAGATTTGTGCCCAAGTGTTTCTTTCAGACTTTTTTCTCCAGTGGGGGGGGGGGGGGACATTTTAACGTAACTACTTTTTGGAACCTTACAGTCAAGCCAATCAGACCTAAAACCCTGTTAATTCGGTAAATACGTATCTTAGTTTAAAGGCACCTTATACAAATAGCTTTCAAGTGCTTTGGCTGCACATAATTAGCTCTAGCCCTGAGAACCTGATTGTAATGGACATTAGCTAGAAAGGCCCCCATTTCGCCTCTTTCTCATGAACCTTGAGTCCATTTAGCTCGTACACTGTATTCAGTTTTAATATATTTGTATTTTAAATGTTTTAAAAGAGTAGTGTATTATTCAAAATCACTGAACACAGAATGTGGACCAAAATCGTTGTGATCATTTTCGGTAAATAGAGAGACGGGAATAAGATGTAGACACTGTCTATGTTCAGTCTTACCTGAGAAACCTATGACTGGACAAAAAGTATTGACAAAACGAATGTAGATGTGGATGAAGTTGTTTGTGTAGGTGTAGGTTTATGTATATCTTTCTTACCACGTAAATGTATCCCACCAAAGGTGGAATAAGTTCTTGAACCGCACCAGTGTGTAAAGTAACTGACATCGTGTCGGACATTCCAGGTTGTCGTAAAATCACCACTTTGTACGTCAGGCTGATCGCAACCCCGTCTTTTTTAAGTTTTCGCCCATAATAATTATACGTATTTACATTGGCGTTTTCGTAATACAGCACTTCTACAAAAACAAAAAAAAATTTAGTTGTTATATATTTTTATTTAATTTAATTTTCTATGTAAATAGTAGTACGTTTTATCTTGTATTATGTATGTCATTCCCTTGAGTGTTCACAGTGTTAACCGCGAAGTGTAATTGATGTTTCCATGTGTTCAGTTAACGAAAGGTATAGTCAGAGACAGGACGCTTCATCTGAGCTTTGTGTATGTCAGAATAAAGAACTAGAGTTAACTCAAAGAACATTGTCTATTCAAGTAATGTAATAAATACTAATGTACGCATACCAGAGCAGGACATAAACCACCTCTGTCAATAACATCCAGATATTCACTACTCCCCCTCTTCTACCCCCACCCCCTTACACCAAAGCAATTAGCCCTCTTTTAACTACCCTACCCCCTGGATATTACCATTCGACCTATAAACTGCAGTAGAACATTACCCCGCTGTCAGTTATCCAGGTCCACTGGTGGTTGAAAGATTCATGAGATGGATATGAATAATATTATGTCTCGATTACATACATATTATGAAGCGATGAATTTTTGTTAAAAACCTAAAATGTTTTCTGCTTATTCGATTTATTTATTTGTCATATCTTTTTATGTTTGCCTACTTCTGGTAATGGTGGTCAGAGCTTGTGGACAAGTTTAATTTAGAAGAGAATTACGTGTAACAGTGCTTTGGTATGAATATGATATGAAGGCCGCTTGCTGAGGTATATGTAGCTTACTATGATGTAGATAACGAACAGGACGTATAGCCCTTGATTCGGCCTATACGTTCTCATTCATTCACTGACTAACGACCATCAAAACTTTGGGTCAAAAACTAATACCTCAGATCTCCTATAAGACACATAAAATTCGCCCACAGGAGCTAAACAAAACATCAACATTTGCAAATCCACAGGGCCCGTAAGCAAATATGACTAAACATCTGACAACCGCCCTAGGATGTTAACACGATGATATACGGTACAGCGGGGTGTCCATTTTTTTTTTCAATGTAAAAAACGTCGATAAAATGAAAAAAGGATTTCAGAGCGCAAATCAGTGATAAAAAAAAATTAAATATCGAATTTGATTTTTGCGTGAACACCAACACGCATTGGATGCCACACAAAGTGAAGCGCTTCATCCAAGGCTATCGTTATTCTTTGAACCTGAGCCTATGCCAATAAGTATCGGCTATATGATTACAGAAAGCACAAAACTTGTCAAAGAAATGCCGCAGCTCTTTGATTGTTTTGATGAAAATTATATTGGCTGAGTATGTCAAAAAAATGCAGCAACTCTTTGATTGTTTTGATGAAAATTATATTGGCTGAGTTTGTCAAAGAAATGCAGCAACTCTTTGATTGTTTTGATGAAAATTATATTGGCTGAGTATGTCAAAGAAATGCTGCAACTCTTTGATTGTTTTGATGAAAATTATATTGGCTGAGTATGTCAAAGAAATGCAGCAACTCTTTGATTGTTTTGATGAAAATTATATTGGCTGAGTATGTCAAAGAAATGCAGCAACTCTTTGATTGTTTTGATGAAAATTATATTGGCTGAGTATGTCACACAGGGGTCCTTGTGGGGGGGGGGGGTTAAGATCCCCCTCAATGACGCCCCCCCCCCGCCTACGCCACTGATTTACTAGCTGGAACAAACATCGCCTGTTAGAAAGTGAGTTACCTCCCACAAACAACAGTGTACAAGGTTGACCTAAAAAAAAAGAACTAAAACTACCGCATTATGGTAGTTGGTACCGCATTATGGTAGTTGGTACCGCATTATGGTAGTTGGTACCGCATTAGGGTAGTTGGTACCGCATTATGGTAGTTGGTACCGCATTATGGTAGTTGGTACCGCATTATGGTAGTTGGTACCGCATTATGGTAGTTGGTACCGCATTATGGTAGTTGGTACCGCATTATGGTAGTTGGTACCGCATTATGGTAGTTGGTACCGCATTATGGTAGTTGGTATCGCATTATGGTAGTTGGTACCGCATTACGGTAGTTGGTACCGCATTATGGTAGTTGGTACCGCATTATGGTAGTTGGTACCGCATTATGGTAGTTGGTACCGCATTATGGTAGTTGGTACCGCATTATGGTAGTTGGTACCGCATTATGGTAGTTGGTACCGCATTATGGTAGTTGGTACCGCATTACGGTAGTTGGTACCGCATTATGGTAGTTGGTACCGCATTATGGTAGTTGGTACCGCATTAGGGTAGTTGGTACCGCATTATGGTAGTTGGTACCGCATTATGGTAGTTGGTACCGCATTACGGTAGTTGGTAACGCATTACGGTAGTGGGGTTCTCTTCCAGTTCATGGGTGTGTCTAATTCTAAGTCTTGGTCTACGTCGTCTAGACCTTGACACATAGAGACCTAGAAATCTAGAAACCTAGACCTTGAGACCTAAAGACATAGACCTAGACCTGGATCACAAAACACAAACTGACATACCTTTCCCGATTGTGCGGCCTTGCGTTTTGCGAATTGTTGTGAGGGCATATTTTTCTTGTGCCGTGAACTCTATGACTGAAAATGAAAAAAAGAAATAGTATATATATTTACAGAATACTCAAACGGTCGATATATAGGCCTACTTCTTTAAATACGGCTATTTTCAATTTAATGTTGTGTGCTGATGTTACAGTAAGGTTTTCGTCAGTTACTCTAAGCTAATGATATTATACCTTGATTTGTTTTATCAAATTCTTCAGGGAACTTAAACAGGTATGGTTCCCAGCTGAAAAAAAAACATCAATTTACTATCTAATGTGTTAAAACGCCTACTCTGGTAGAGTACACTCATTTTCAGTTTAAAACATAAACTTTAAAACATTCACTTTATATCAAATGTCAGCATTATGTAACCAATGGTGTTTATTTGAAGCTATTACTCAAAGGGAAAAAAATCGAAAGTTGTTTTTCCTCAAAATTTAAGTCTTTTAAAAATCTAGGGTTCCAATTGTTTGAAAATTAAAATGCGTGATTTTTTTTGGAACGCACTTTATCTAAAAAGTGTTGTTGTCAACTATGTACAAGAAGCTTTTGTCATCTTTTCTCTCCGAAAATATATGATTTCCACCTAAAGAGAATATCTCAAAAGAATTAATTAATGTCTTAAACGGTGTGTTATAAAATATTTTTGGGCAGCAGTATTAAAACTATAATAATTGTAGAAAACACTATATTTTAGTTTAAACTTTCCTAATTAAAACAAAGAAGAGTTAAAAAAAAATATTCGTTTCCTATTATAGATTTTGTAATTTTCAAGAGTCATAATATGACAATACTTAGTGAGGCTTAGAACTTGTGGCTTATCATCCATGCGGACCATAGAATATCCATCAGTAAGTGCTTGTCCTGTTTTTATTCTATGGGATTTAGTGTTCATTTCTTGGGTTATTGTACTGAAAACCAGCACATGGTTGTATTCTCTGGAGAAGAGGTATACACATACATATAAATAGAACAATAATCTAATCTTAGCTAATTTACGCTAAGCTAATTTACGCTAAGCTAAGCTAAGCTAAACTAAGCTAAGCTAAGCTAAACTAAGCTAAGCTAAGCTAAGCTAAGCTAAGCTAAGCTAAGCTAAGCTAAGCTAAGCTAAGCTAAGCTAAGCTAAGCTAAGCTAAGCTAAGCTAAGCTAAGCTAAGCTAAGCTAAGCTAAGCTAAGCTAAGCTAAGCTAAGCTAAGCTAAGCTAAGCTAAGCTAAGCTAAGCTAAGCTAAGCTAAGCTAAGCTAAGCTAAGCTAAGCTAAGCTAAGCTAAGCTAAGCTAAAGCTGCATCTTGTGTAAAACTTACTGGAGATTCGTGACGATCATGCTATAAAATTTATTCCAGTAGGTGTCTGGCAGAGACCTGAAACTGTCGTAGTAAATCTCGCGATTGGTAGTGTAAGCAAAATAGTCGAAAGGAGCATTAGCTTCTAACTCAATCACAAAGTAGTCGTAATCCTTCAGATCAGCTCTAGGATTAAAAAAAAAAAAACCGTGAAGTATACAGCTTTTAAACACAACATGCGAGCTACAGCAAACAATAATTTGCTTGAACACCATCAGTGACGCAGCAACAGTAAAACCTAAACATAAATTACTATTGAATCTAAACATAAACATAATTAACCATTGAATCTAAGCATAAACATAAATCACTATTGACTCTAAACCTAAAATAAAAAGTAATTGATTAAAAAAAACTTTAATCACAAACGTTTATATAATTTTGCACTAAAAGGAAGTAAATGACAGATTTTATGAAAACATGATACAGTACTATTTATAATCCAAGAAATAAAAGCCTAGGGCATAATAACAAAAAAATTCATCCAGTTTTTTTTATAAAGTTGCATACCATATTGACAACACCCGTATCGAATGTGTTTTTGTGTTCTTAAAGTAACCGAAACTTTCTTTAACGTCTACATTTACAAAACGACCTTAAATTAAGATTGCTTATTAGCTTCCTTAACTCTAGTCCATAAACATATCTATTGGTTTTTTTTTAAATGTCTAGCAATAGAAAGCTACGCCCCTCTTCATCACCATTCATTTGAACGGTGCCAACTCCCGCTTCATGGCAATTTAAATCCATAATTAAATCCGAGGAACAATATAAATCCAACATTAACTGAGAGGAACAATTTAAATCCAACATTAAATGAGGGGAACAATTTAAATCCATCATTAAATTAGAGGAACAATTTAAATCCTTCATGAAATGAGGGGAACAATTTAAATCCATCATTAAATGAGAGGAACAATTTAAATCCACCATTAAATGAGAGGAACAATTTAAATCCATCATTAAATGAGGGGAACAATTTAAATACATCATTAAATGAGGGGAACAATTTAAATACATCATTAAATGAGAGGAACAATTAAAATACATCATTAAATGAGATGAACAATATAAATCCATCATTAAATGAGGGGAACAATTTAAATACATCATTAAATGAGGGAAACAATTAAAATACATCATTAAATGAGAGGAACAATTAAAATACATCATTAAATGAGATGAACAATATAAATCCATCATTAAATGAGGGGAACAATTTAAATCCTTCATTAAATGAGGGGAACATATTAAATCCATCATTAAACGAGGGGGAACAATTTAAATCCATCATTAAATGAGGGGAACAATTTAAATCCTTCATTAAATGAGGGGAACATATTAAATCCATCATTAAACGAGGGGAACAATTTAAATACATCATTAAATGAGGGGAACAATATAAATCCATCATTAAATGAGGGGAACAATTTAAATCTAACATCTATTGTCCGTGAATTGTATATTTCAGTACAGCCGGTAAAATATATCTGTATAAACAAGAGAGTACTTACCTTCGGTCAGAGAATTGTTTGTGCGTGTGTGTGTGTGTGTGTATTTGGGTGAGTGCGCGTATGTGTTTGTGTGTGTATGCGTGTGAGTGTGTGTGATTGTGAGTGCGGTAAACAAAATGATTACATTTCAACAAGGCTGTGGGTAGCTCTGGAATTTTGCCTCAAGTGTTTTTCCAAGGAAGATGCGATGTGCTTGCCTTTGGGATAATCGATATAGTTTATCTGTAAATTAGAAGATAATTAAATAAACCGGGATTGATCTCCCTTACACGTTCTAGAATATTCTTATATAACTGTGGGATGGCAACTCAGGATATAAACTTTATTTTTAATTACTTAAACTTTGCACGCTTGCCAAACTTCCTCTACACTTCGTAAACGAGAAAGTAAGAATGGTTCGTTTTCTATATACTATATTGGGAAGGTAAGTTCTTTTACTCTAAATAAAATGTATCGTGAATATTAATGAATTTTTTTGTTTATACAATTTGCTATACAATTTGCATTTTTTCAGTCCCATCCTAGAGAGTACCATGGCATTTTATGAAATGGTATTAAGAATATGAGCCTTTATGATTACAATTATATAGACTAATTTTAGCATTCATAAAAGCTAAATTTGTAAACTTTATTTCGTTTTTATTGCTGGATTGTTACTAGCAAACTAGGTTTTTACAAAAGAAAAAGGAAAAAATAGGATGGTGTAGTCTAACAGTAGAGTGAACGTTTTATTGCTAGTCCCGAGGTCTCGAGTTCGGATCTCTTTGATGGGTGCCTGACTCGCATTAGGGATACAATAGCGGCTTGTCAAATTGCTGACCACACTGTCCTTTCACATGCCGAGTTCAGTAAAACAGACTAAATCTACTTCATTGGGCCCGGATGTGTCTGGGCAAAAAAAGATGATATCAAAAGTATGAACAGCTAAACATTTCTATTTTTTATAGTCTAGGAATTATTCGCTGCGAAGCTTGTTATTGTTTGTTAAAATAAATGCTTTTTAAATTTCTTTTAAATAATTTCATGCTTTTTAAATTTCTTTTAAATAACTTCATTTTTTTAAAGCTAAGCATGAATATATTTTACTGTACCGAACCTTCAAGTTCAAATAAACCAGGCACAGTTTGATCCAAGAAAAAGAGGCTAATTATTTGAGTAAAACATGTAATTAAATGACGACAAACTCGTCGAAACCATGTTTGTGATGTCACAACTCCATGACGACAAACTCGTCGAAACCATGTTTGTGATGTCACAACTACATGACGACAAACTCATCGAAACCATGTTTGTGATGTCACAACTACATGACGACAAACTCGTCGAAACCATGTTTGTGATGTCACAACTCCATGACGACAAACTCGTCGAAACCATGTTTGTGATGTCACAACTACATGACGACAAACTCGTCGAAACCATGTTTGTGATGTCACAACTACATGACGACAAACTCATCGAAACCATGTTTGTGATGTCACAACTACATAACGACAAACTCGTCGAAACCATGTTTGTGATGTCACAACTACATGACGACAAACTCGTCGAAACCATGTTTGTGATGTCACAACTACATGACGACAAACTCATCGAAACTATGTTTGTGATGTCACAACTACATGACGACAAACTCATCGAAACTATGTGTGTGATGTCACAACTACATGACGACAAACTCATCGAAACCATGTTTGTGATGTCACAACTACATGACGACAAACTTGTCGAAACCATGTTTGTGATGTCACAACTACATGACGACAAACCAATCAAAACCATGTTTGTGATGTCACAACTACATGACGACAAACTCGTCGAAACCATGTTTGTGATGTCACAACTACATAACGACAAACTCATCGAAACCATGTTTGTGATGTCACAACTACATGACGACAAACTCGTCGAAACCATGTTTGTGATGTCACAACTACATGACGACAAACCAATCAAAACCATGTTAGTTTGTCGTCACCAACGTGGTTGTCGTCCAGTTGTTGAGCGACCTAAACAAGATTCTTAATGAACGCCCCTATTTTATTTCAAGTTACCACCTTAACGAAATAGTGTCCTTAGACTAGGGATATCAAGTTACAATGCACATTCCAGCAAAACTCACTTTAAGAAGGGTATCAGGGAAAACACTAAGAAACGTCATCTCAAATGTAAAACCAAATTTCATTGGATTTGCACCCCACACATTCACGACCTGGGTTGCTTGTGACTGTCCTGTTTCGGGATAAGAAAAAATTATTTTAGCCAATCTTTTTTTCTTCGTTCTTGAGTGAAATATTAGAAGGGATTTCCTCCAACACGGTTAAGTATTAAGTGTTAACCAATTATGCACCATATTGGCGGTTGACTACGATTTTCCGCCTGCTTTTCTGTTTGGATTTGCTTCCATAGACTCCGTCCAACCGAGAACAAACCACAACGCAGCGGTTGTATGATTTAACGTTCACTCCCTTGATGGATAGTCTTTCACATCTACTGAGGTTCATCTGACTGGGAGTTGAACTCTGGACCTTGCGGGTTTGCATCGTGAGCTTTACCGACTCGACACCGCCCGCTCAGAGGCTGGCCTTCACAGGTTCAATGTTTATAGACATTTACCGCGCACAGAATATTATCAATAGAGGCAAAAAATTCAATTTAGATAGGTACTTCTATTTTTATATCGATCACAGGCAGCTCGAGCTAAAATCTAGAGCTCATTTGCCAAAATCGAGAGCTTTGGTCTTACACGTTCAGCAAGCTGTACCAGATACCTTATGTCTATACCAAGTGCTCAAATCAGCTAACCAACACATAGGTATCCGAGATTTAAAAAACAAAACAGATGAAAACTACATTTATCATATAGACAAGTCACACCATTGAATATGGCAACCAAAACTACTTACTCTCATCCTAGCAACCAACAGCCTCCACCCTATCAACAAGACCTTGTCTCAAGCACAAAAACTCTACTGATTATCTTACCCAATTTAGCCACCGAGAAAAAACACACGAAAAGCAAGATGTATCCGCACATAGTGAGCACACTTGCTTATGATTGTAGACGATCTAAGTATACCAAAATACTCGAATATAAAAAAAGCAAAATGTAATAAGAAAATTATATATATATATATATATATATATATATATATATATATATATATATATATATATATATATATATATATATAACAGATTAATTTAAAATTAATTGCAATAATTAAATAGTACATGTTTATGCAATGGAAAAGCTGCTCCTAATTTACAACACAAAAGCAGAGTTTCTTCCATGCATCTCTTCGGGGGGGGGGGGGGGGGCCGAAATTTTTTTACCGCCCCCCCCCCCCCCCCGAACGAAATGAATTTATATAATTTATATAGAAAATATATACTTTTAACAAAGTCCGCCCCCCGAAGAAAGTCTACCACCCCCCGAAAATTTCAAGTGCCCCCCCCCCCCTGAGAAAAAAGTCTGCACAAAAGTACAATGTAGTCTCAGCTCTGCAAGAGTAACGCGTATTTCTATTATTATGTATCAGTCATATGACACAAACTGTAACATTTTTATGTATCAGTGGTATAACACAAACAGTAAAGATTCTTATGTATCAATCGTACTACACAAAAGGTAAACATTCTTACGTATCAGTCATATAACACAAACAGTAAACATTCATATAACACAAACTCGAGCACCTACTATGGTCCATAAAAATGTTAAATAGACCTCTTATCGTAAGCTGAATGATTGATAAAATTGTTAAATGGACCTCTTGTCGTAAGCTGAATGATTGATAAAAATGCCAAATGGACCTCTTGACGTTAGCTGAATGATTGATAAAAATCTTAAATAGACCTCTTGTCGTAAGCTGAATGATTGATAAAAATGCCAAATGGACCTCTTGACGTTAGCTGAATGATTGATAAAAATGTTAAATGGACCTCTTGTCGTTAGCTGAATGATTGATAAAACGCATGGACCGGTTTAATGCCCTCTGTTGCCTTCCTTTGAGCTAGGTGTAATTTCTGATTGATGGGATTGCTTGAAGACGTTAACCTCAACCCACCTCCACCCCCCCCCCACCACCCACCCACCCCCAACCTCACGTCATGTTTGGGAACCCGTGATCTAGACAGACAGACAGACTGTTGACAGACAGAGGAAGCAAGTTAAATAAAAGCTTGTAAAAAATGACCCTAGAATATTAAAATTTACTTGAAACTTAAACCTGAACCTAAGCTTGAACATGATCCTGAAGGTTGACCTTGACCTAATCCTAAACTTAAACCTGAACCTAAATGTAACCCTAAACCTAAACCTTAATCTAAACCTAAACCTGAACCTGAACCTAAACTTTACCTAAACCTTAACCGACATTGAAACTTGATCCTCAACCCGATCCTCAATCTCAACCAGTGGCGTAGCGAGGTCAGGTGTCACCCGGTCGGCACTTAATGGTGTCACCCCCAGAGGCGTAGCGACCCTTCCCGGGGACAAACTTTCACATTTTCGATTTGCACCCCCCCCCATCAAATTCTCGATTTGCACCCCCCCTCCCCTCAAACTTTCGATTTGCACCCCCCCCCCCCCCTCAAACTTTCGATTTGCACCCCCCGTCAAGTTTTTCTCTATATATTTTGCTATTTTTGGCCTTGGTGTCACCCCCCTAAATGGTGTCACCCGGTGCGGTCCGCACCCCCCGCCCCCCCCCCCCCCCCCTCGCTACGCCTCTGATCTCAACCTAACCTTTAACCTTATCGTCAATCTTAACTTTAACAACCTTTACCTGCACTTTAACTTATCTTTAATTTTAACCTTGGCCTTGACCTTAACAATTGCCTCCACCTTGACCTTGAGCATTACCTTAACCATATCCATATCCATTATCCATATCCATACCTCTACCCATACCCTTACTCTTATCCATATCCATATCCATATCTAAATTCATATCTAAATTCATATCCATACCAATAACCATAATAACCTCCACCCTCCCCCCTATCATTAACCCGAAACCTGAATATGCCCCTAGCCCAAACCCAATATTGATTTTGACCCTTATTCCTTAACCCTTGACTCCTAACCCATAAATCCTAACCCTTAACCCTTAACTCCTAACCCCTAGCCTCTAATCCTCATCCTCAACCTTGACATTGACCATGACCTAAACTTTAACCTTAACATCGGCCAGGAATCTAAGCCTCTGCCCAAGCTTGAACCTAAAACTCTGGCTTTAGCCTTTGATTTGACCTTGACCTTGACAATGACCTCGCCATGGGCCTCAGCATTGTTCTTTGCTTTACCTTATCCTTGACCTTGGCCTAAGCCTTCCTTCCTCCCTTACGCTTAGTCTACACTGACACACCCAACCAACTAGAAATTTAACCCGATCCGGAACTTTAATCGTAAACGGAAATTTAACTTAACTGAGAACCGGATATTAACCGCATTGTTCTACCGACATACGAGTTTTGTTAATATCGAAAATACGTATTTCGTCATTTTAAACTAAGATGGCAGATTTAACAGTTGTGTGTTAAAGATGGAGTCTAGACTCTAGATCTAGGTCTAGACATAGATAAGCATCTCTATTTGAATTCACAAAAAGTGAGAAAAATTAATATATTCTACAAGTAGTCTTTAGTATATATCGTTCCCTAGAGATTTTGTTTTATTACCTGCAAAGATATGTGTGATATCTTTTAAGAACAAATAATGTACGAACGCCATATTGCTATGTTTTCAAAATAAATACAACGTACATTTTAATGATAACTTCCGTTTCACAAGTAAATTTTAAAAAGTTGCACAAAAATAAATGAAACAGATATTAACTATTCTTCGCTACAAACTCAAAATCTAAATTAAACTTTATAAAGTTAGGATCCTTTTTAAATTAGTCTGGGGCTAAAAACAAGATATAAATTTAGTTAAAATTATTATTATACAACAGAATTGGATGAGTATAAGCTTTTAAAATAAATTGTTAACAATATTTTTTAACTATTTCACTTTCTTGTATATACGAATAATAGTGAAAGTCTTGTAATCGTGCAAAAAAATCGAGATTTTTGCAAATCTCGACTTTTAACACCTCCCATAATTTTGCAATCTTGTCCGTATGTCTGTGTGTGTGTGTGTGTCTGTCTGTGTGTGTGTGTGTGTGTGTGTGTGTGTGTAAACACGATAACTTGAGTACCGTTACAGCTAGGTTGATGAAATTTCATATATAAGTATTATATCAAAATCGTAGATCCGTATCAACTTTTGAGCGATTTCCGATAACCTAAAGTGGAACTTTTTCTACTTTTAATTTCTCATAAGTCTATAACTTGAGTACTATTTCAAATAGATTCATGTAATTTCACATGTAAAATACAGATCTACTTCACTGCCTTCTTTCAAATTTTGAGTAATTTCCGTTGACCGGAAGTAATAATTTTTGCTATTTCCGATTTCTCAAAAAACGTGTGTGAATTTATAAAGTACTAATAATATCCCGCACAATCATGCACATTTTTTAGGCGTTCACTTGGTGTGCAATTTTTTTTCTACGAGATTTTATTCTATTTTAAAAAGTTTAAGTATTTAAAATGGATTAAAAAGTCATGTCTATATTCCGAGTTGGTATTTAATAGGAAATAAAATTCGAAACTGGAAACAAAAATTGATCTGAAAGAGGAATGTTAACCGGAAAGGGAATTTGACCGGATACTGAATTTTAACCTGAACTGGAAAAGGAGTCTGAACTTTAACTGAAAAAGAAAACCTACTGTAGTAGTATCCTCAAACCTAACACTAATCCTACCATGCCCGTCCCACTGCCCGTACAACTTTAAAGTTTTGTACAATCTGCCCGTACAATGCCCGTGATACTTTACAGTTTAATACAATCTTTTTGTTTTAAGTTGGGCATCACGATTTAAATCGAGCTAATGTTATTTTTTTTATTTCCAGTTAAACAACGTGTTCAAGAGTATCAGGACAAGGAACTTCTGTTTTCTTTACTAATTAAAGAGCACTAAAAAGGCTGTTAGATATTTCAGTTACAGAAAAGCATTAACGCAGCGCAGCAAAGTTAATCAAGCTAAGCGCTAATTAGATTATTTAACGAACAACACGTGAGATGTACTAGGTTATCTCACGTGTCGATTTTTGTGATACCGTATTATTCCGTAACGTACCATACCGTACCATTCCGTAACGTACCATACCGTACCATTCCGTAACGTACCATACCGTACCATGCCCTACCATACCGCATCGTACCGTGTCGTACCATACTGTACCGTGTCGTCTCGTCTCATATCATACCGTATCATTTTGCAGTGTGCATTACCGTACTTTACCTTTCCGTACCGTACCGGGCCGTGCCGTGTCGTACATTACCGTACCGCATAGAACCGTACCGTTCCACACTCTACCGTACTCTATATAACCGTACAGAACATTACCGTTCCGTACCGCACCGCACTGTGCAGAACCGCACCGTTCCGCATTGTACCGTACCGTACGGTTAACAAACCGTACCGTACCGTACCGTACCGCACCGTATCGTACCACACCGTTAACAAACCGAACAGTACTTTGCACTTTTGGACTTATGCACGACTTGCACGTATCTAACATTTTTCTATTAATGTGAAAAGTTATAATTTTACATTTTTTTCGCAGTGTGCATCACCGTACTTTACCTTGCCGTACCGTACCGGACCGTGCCGTGTCGTACCGTACCGTATGCTACAGAATCGTGTAGGACCGTACCGTTCCGTACCGCACCGCACTGTGCAGAACCGTACCGTTCCGCATGGTACCGTACCGTACCGTAACGTATCGTTAACAAACCGAACCGAACCGAACCGTACCGTACCGTACCGTACCTTACCGTACCGTACCGTACCGTACCGTACCGTACCGTACCGTACCGTACCGCACCGTACCGTACCGTACCGTACAGGTCTAACAGGTAGGCAGTGATGATGAAATGGTTTGTTACACATGTAGGCAGTGTTGGTGTAATAGTTTGTTACAAATGTATGTAGTGTTGGAGTAATGGTTTGTTACACAGGTAGGCAGTGTTGGTGTAATGGTTTGTTACACATGTAGGCAGTGTTGGTGTAATGGTTTGTTACACAGGTAGATATTGTTGGTGTAATGGTTTGTTACACAGGTAGATATTGTTGGTGTAATGGTTTGTTACACATGTAGGCAGTGTTGGTGAAATCGTTTATTACACAGGTAGATAATGTTGGTGTAATGGTTTCTTACACAGGTAGACAGTGTTGGTGTAATGGTTTGTTACACAGGTAGGCAGTGTTGGTGTAATGGTTTGTTACACAGGTAGATATTGTTGGTGTAATGGTTTCTTACACAGGTAGACAGTGTTGGTGTAATGGTTTGTTACACAGGTAGGCAGTGTTGGTGTAATGGTTTGTTACACAGGTAGATAATGTTGGTGTAATGGTTTCTTACACAGGTAGACAGTGTTGGTGTAATGGTTTGTTACACAGGTAGGCAGTGTTGGTGTAATGGTTTGTTACACAGGTAGGCAGTGTTGGTGTAATGGTTTGTTACACAGGTAGGCAGTGTTGGTGTAATGGTTTGTTACACAGGTAGATATTGTTGGTGTAATGGTTTGTTACACATGTAGGCAGTGTTGGTGAAATCGTTTGTTACACAGGTAGATAATGTTGGTGTAATGGTTTGTTACACAGGTAGATATTGTTGGTGTAATGGTTTCTTACACAGGTAGATATTGTTGGTGTAATGGTTTCTTACACATGTAGATATTGTTGGTGTAATGGTTTGTTACACATGTAGGCAGTGTTGGTGAAATCGTTTGTTAAACAGGTAGATAATGTTGTTGTAATGGTTTAGCTAAACAGGTAGGCAGTGATGGTATAATTGTTAAATTTTTTGGACAACAAAAGTGTAAGTGTAAAATTTAAGTTGGACAACTGTAATGTAAGTGTAATGTTTTCGTTGTATGGGTAATGTTTTTTGGACAGCTATTGTGTAAGTGTAATGTTTTTTTGGACAGCTATTGTGTAAGTGTAATGTTTTTGTGGACAGCTATAGTGTAAGAGTAATGTTTTTGTTTATGGGTAATGTTTTTTGGACAGCTATTGTGTAAGTGTAATGTTTTTGTGGACAGCTATAGTGTAAGAGTAATGTTTTCGTTGTATGGGTAATGTTTTTTTGGACAGCTATTGTGTAAGTGTAATGTTTTTGTGGACAGCTATAGTGTAAGTGTAATGTTTTCGTTGTATGGGTAATGTTTTTTTGGACAGCTATTGTGTAAGTGTAATGTTTTTTGGACAGCTATAGTGTAAGAGTAGTGTTTTTGTTGTATGGGTAATGTTTTTTGGACAGTTATCGTGTAAGTGTAATGTTTTTTTTGGACAGTTATAGTGTAAGAGTAGTGTTTTTGTTGTAAGGGTAATGTTGACAGCTATAGTGTAAGTGTAATGTTTTCGTAAGGGTTTATCAAATATTCGCGATAATTCGGTGTCAACGACAGTCTATCAAACGTCAGACTGTCACAAGCTAATATGCTAGAAATTGTGAGATGTATCACTCACAATTTTCCCAACGCAACAATCCGATTCTCATCCATCGTACCCTCATGTCGTGGCAAGGGTAGGCACTTGATAGAACTAAATAATAGATTTTTACAGTCTTTCTGTATTAGTTATAAATACTGTTTTATAAACAATACACCTTTTTTCACTGCTAAGTCAGGTGCCCCGAGACAACGCTTGTACAGTGACAGTATTCATTTAACTAAAATTGGTAGCAGTATTCTCGCTAAAAAAAAAAAAGTATCCCCAAAGAGCCGTCAGCTTAACAGATAAAGACCATGTGCACTTTTCAAACGTAAAAGGTACCAAGGCTGATTTGGTTTATGAATCTTCGACTGTTGATATGCCACCAATAATATCTTCAGGTCAGTTGAACTCTAGCTGAAACAACCTCTTGCTGAACCAAGGCTTACATCACTTAATGGGCTTCAGCCTTCTGTTGATTCATCAAGCTCTAATATTGTCGATTAAGCGCCTTCCTGTTGAAATTAATGATGCTCATTGACTGGATCCTAACATATTTTCACTTACTATTCTCTACTAGTTTAACTCACGGTATCTCTGGTGTTTGATGCTACAATAATACTTTTATTTTCCATTTTCATTTCACATAATAGTTTTATATATGTACTATATTCATTATAATACAATTGTACATTTATATTGCAATATATATATATATTATATATATTATATATATATATATATATATATATATATATATATATATATATATATATATATATATATATATATATCGTTATTTTATTTTTTTATTTTCCAATTGTGTATCCTATTCAGTTAATTACATTAACTAATTTACTAAACTTTTGTGACTGAAGTGATAGATGATCATTTTGGGCACACGAACACATACCAGAGATCTTTAGTCTTTAAATGGTGGCAAAAGTTCTGTAGACTTCAGACGGAAGGCAACTTTATCTATGATGCAACTGATATGTCGTATTAATAAAAAGATTTACTTTAATAAAATAAACGATTTAATAATGCAAATTGTGTGTTAGGCTTTTTTGTGTTTAAAAACATTATCCTAATGTTTGTCATGCTTTTCAATCAACAAACATAAACTTTTAAAAGTAGTTTTCATTTTCTTTTGCCGTTGTGTTATTTTTTTATATTAGGGGACAGAACTGCTTTGGGTGATCTCCATTATAAATGAGAGTGTAAGGGAGATCATCT